AAAGCACTGTATCGAACGGTTCAATATCGATACGAGTATCGTTGCACCCCTACTAAAAACCTGAAACACTGCACATCACTCTAGTCACTGTAAAAACTAACTGTGCTGACTGTGATATGTCCAAGGTTTGTCTGTTGTATTTTGCCTTTGCTCCTAGCTACAATGCTCCACACTAAGTTATCCTAAGTTCTGCTCTGTTTCATCAAAAATACCAGTATGAGCATTCAGTGTTAGGATTCAGTGAAGAGCTTTGGCACTGCCCTCGGAGCTTTGAGCCGTCACACCCAAACCTATTATGTGTTTGTGCTGATAACCTCTTCCCCAGGCATTCCAAGTAAATCAGCACTCCTACTGCAAACTATCATAGACACATAAAAAATTAAAATTCCAACTCTGATTTTGTGTTCTGAGTGAAAACAATTCTTCAAATATATGAACAATAAAGTTAGAAGCAAAAAGAACCAAGTCCACACCTTTCAGTCAGAAAACTGACACTCTGCCTATTTAGCAAATCCTTAAAGTTTCCTATTTTTAAGGTAAAGGAAGGGTTTTGTCCTAAATCTAGCCCATGGTTCACTATCAGGAATGTTTTCCAGTTATGCTAAAGCTCCATTCAGTGACAAAGTTAAACAGAGATATGAGGATGAGATGAAAGGGTGCAGGAAGCAAAGATGCCAAAAGAGAGAGATTTTGTTCCCTAACAGTGTTAAATGGAGCTATCACGTGGTATTTATCACGTGATAGCAAATGGATTAAAGAAACGCATGCACACCATCCTGCCATAGAAAATAAATCAGTTCGTGTTTTTCTGTTATGTTTAAACTGATTTAATTCCTCATAATACCAAATGTGGATCCCATTGGCTCATGTGCACCACTAATATAACTCATGTGTATTTCTCTTATCACGTACTTGCTTCAACAAACACAGATGTTGCAGCACCGTTTGCCTTCCCAGTGGACCTGCAGGCGTACCCCACGTACTGCACAGTAGTGGCCTACGTCACTGACCTCAGCACTATACGCCAAAGGCTGGTGAACCGCTTCTACAGGTGCGTCCTCTCGGGTTATCACATACAGAGCGCGTGTGAAAGAGACCGACCGTAACAGCTGCGTTTTCCTTTCAGGCGGCTCTCCTCTCTGATGTGGGAGGTTCGCTACATAGAACACAACGCCCAGACGTTCAACGAGCCGGGGTCATTCATCGTCACCACCGCCAAGTTTGTCTCTGACCTCATGCTGCAGTTCATTAAGTGAGCACATTTAATGTCGAGCGTTACTAAATCACAGTTACGTGATGTGAAAATAATCATCTGAAATGTCCTCCTTACTCATCAATGAATGTTTCATTCCCCACATGTAGCTTTCCCAACAGCTGCAACAGTCGACTTTTTGGGTTTAATAATTTGACATGAATAATTTTTAGATCATTGACCCTGTCCTATCACGGAGGAATAACTCCTGATTCCTCCTCATTTCTTCCACAGGGACCCAAGTCTGACAGACATCATGCCCCTCTATAAAACTATGAAGAAGGCGACCTTCTCTGACTCTGAAGACGAGGTGTGTGTGACTGTCCGTATGCATGCTTACACTGCATTCATTCACACGATGATCCGGGCACGTTAAGCGGAAAGCTTTGAAAACAGATACTAATCTCGCTTTTTTTCCTTCTTTTTTGAATTATTGAGCTAAAAAATATAATTAATTAAGCTGACAGAGAAACATGTTCGATTATTTTTCTTTTATCCTATTTAGGATGACGAGGAAGAGGACGAAGATACTAATACTCCTGGAACATCCACACGGAACCACAAGGTAACATATGTAACGGATTCACACGAGCGGATACAGTGTCAGTGTCGATGCAGGTTCGGTATCAGAAATGGCCGTTTACTGGTTTTTTACTAATTCCCACAGGCCCGTCGACCCATGCAGCGCCAGCTGCGAGCTCGACCTCATTCGTACGACCCTCACGCGTGGAAGGGACGCTGCAAAGAGCTGCTGGATCTCATCTTTCAATGTGAAGACTCTGAGCCCTTCAGAGAACCCGTAGACCTACAAGAGTACCCGGTAACTATGCAACAAACCTCTCGCTTTTTGTGTTATGTGCGGTGCATACCTGCGAGCTCAGAATCAAACTCAACTCTCTGGAGCTGATCTGAATTTTTAGCTCCTTGTAAATTTCCATCACAATCACATTGATTTGTGTTTTCAGGGGGCACAAGTGGCTCCAGTTCAATTATGATGAGTGCTGTTTGAGGCAAAGGCCTCTTCATTCATGATGTGAACAGACTCACAGCTTCAGTGGCCTTGAGTTCTCTTCAAAAGAAGAAGGGTGCAGTTCTTTCACTTCTGGTTTTTTTTCCTTTTCAGCTCATTGACAGTAAAAACTTCAAACCTCTCTATTCTCTCACTTCTTTCCCATTTCTCTCTCTCTCTCCTTTCTGTCATCTTTTGAAAACAATTCAATGAAAGATGAAAAATCCCAACTGTCCCTCTGCTTCTTCAAGGACTACCTGCAAATAGTCGAATCACCGATGGACTTTGGCACTGTTCTCAACACGCTGACGGAAGGAAAGTACCAGTCTCCCATTGAGCTCTGCAAGGATGTCAGGCTCATTTTTAGTAATTCCAAAGCTTACACGCCCAGTAAGAAGTCTCGGGTGAGGGTCACAAACACACACATTTACAGCTCATTATGCCTATAATATAGATTTTATGGGTCCATAAAATTAAATCCTCAAATTATTATTTTTTTTAACTTCTTCAGATTTATAGTATGAGCCTAAGGCTTTCTGCCCTGTTTGAGGAGCATATCAGCCCCATCCTGGCTGACTACAAAGCCATCCACGGCCTGACTGATAAACTGACCAAACAAGGCACCGACAGACAGACACGACACACTACAGACAGACAGACACGGCACGTAATGAAGAGGAGGAGGAGGAGAAGCGAATCTCCTGCAAGCAGCACCGCGTCCAGGTAGATGAAATTTAACTTTCTCTGCAGCTTTAAATATATATATATTTTTTAACCTGATGTCACACTCGGTTACTTTTTGATTTCATTTCTAGCCCAGAGAGGAAGAGACGCGTATCGTCCAGAGTGAACGCAAAGAAGGAGCCTTCGCCTGTCCCTTCACGACCCTCCTCTCTGAGGCAGAGCATCCCCGTCAAGCAGCAGCCGCCTCAGATGGTCAACGGCAAAGCAGAAACGCCAGCTCCAGGACGCACGCGTAGCGCTGCGCGCCATACTACACACTCACTACCCTCCTCATCCTCATCACATAACGTCACGAACAGCACGCCGAGCACAACAGGTATCATCACAGACGTGTTCAATAAATACGATAACGCTCCAGGAAGTCACTGCAGCAGGCAAAGGAGTAGTCGGCCACAGCATGTTGCTGTTACATTTTGGTTTTTATACACACACAACACAAGTTTGTGAGTCGCTGACAGTCACCTTTTGTTACCTTTGGACAAAGCTAGGCTACCTATACGCTGCCTGTTTTTCAGCCTTTATGCTAAGCTATGCTAACCAAAGTGATGTTGATTTTCTTATCTGATGCTGGACAAGAAAGCACACTACATCTCCTCGCCTGCTGCCTAGCCTGACTGTTTATTTCCTTCTTCTATCTCCTTCTCATTAACAGAGTCGACTCGCTCGTTGCGGGCTCATAACTCTGTGCCAGCTTCGTCATCACCAGCTCCTGAGAAGGTGACACCTTCCCAACCCACAGAGAGTAGCAGCGGAAGCACTCGACGGAAACTCAGGACACCTGTTCGACACACACCAGGTAAGAGATCACGTCACAATCATGTGACCGTGTAAAGCAAAGGTTTACGATCAGGACGTAAACATTTACGTTTCTGTTCTTTTCCATCTCAGGCTCTCCTGGCAGCACTTCATCTCATAGCACAGTCCACCTGAATGGCCACGGTAGTCATGTGACCCTAGGTGTGGGAAGAAGGGGGAGGAAGTCGAGAACAGAGCCGCCAGTGAGTCCACCAGAGGTCTCAACCCCGGCCAGCCCTTCAAGACCGCGAGGTCGCCCACCTGGCAAGAAGAGAGGCAGGAAGAGCAAGCAGGAGGCGGAGGACACAAGACAGAGCGGCAGCCGCAGGAGCTTCACCCCTGACGACGAGGTCGACCCGTCTACAGGCGACGAAGGCGGCATGTCTTCTGCACAGGAAGTGTTGTCGGACTCTGGCATGGCGTCGACGCCGAGACGGCGTGGCCGGCCCCGAGTGGTGAGAATCGAGGAACCTGCTCCTCCTCCTGAGTCACCGGAGCCCTCGCCACTGAGGAGGAGCAGCAGAAGGGCCAACGAAGAGGGCACGCCTCCGCTCCAGACCCAACGACCCAGCCGGAAAGAACCTCCTAAGGAGGAGGAGGAGGCAGGCGACGAGGCAGGAGGGTCCATGCGCACACGTAACCAAGGTCGACGGTCAGCCTGGTACATGGAGGAGGACTCCGAGGAGGAGCAAAGGCAGCTGCTGTTTGAGGACTCATCAATAACCTTTGGCACCTCCTCAAAAGGGCGTGTCCGCAAACTGACAGAGAAAGCCAAAGCCAACCTGATTGGCTGGTAACGGAGGAGCCACGCAGGCTGGGACATGTTCGCTCGTGCGTTGGAGGACTGGGAGGGCGGAGTGGAGGAAGTCACGCTTAGCGGTGTATGCATTTGTGTGCGTATGTGTGCGTACATCCATGGAGTCGCTGGTTCAGCTGCTGCTATTTGAAGCTGAGGAGAGCAAAGAGTTACCAGCCCACTCCTTGTCGCTGCCCCTCCCCTTCCACCTTCCTCTCTTGCCCAGTAAGCACATCTGTACGACATCCGATGGCATGTTCGCGTGTTCCAGCTCCTCCTACATTATTGATCCATGTTGGATCCCGCAGGAGCGCGAATCACAGAGCCTCATGTCGACGGTGTTGTGACTCCTCTCTTGTGAACCACTCTGTCTCCTTCTGACCTTGTACACAGTTTGGTGTCAGATTGGGTAAAGTTGTTGGTAGTTGGAGACTTTTAGTACTTGAAAAAAAAATCACGAGGAGGCCAGATGTATCTTATCTAACTTTTACTATTTTTGAGGACTTTTCAAGCGTCTCCGCCGGACAGATGGAAGATGCCCACGGAGCTGAATGCGGTAATGGACGACGGGACCGCTGGCCTAACGACGTCCTTTTCCCGCTTCCCCCTCTCTCCCTCCCTTCCTCATTGTTCCCAGTCTTTTTTTATACAACCTGCTCTCTGCTTTTTCTAAGATTTGTACGTGATCACTGCTCTCTGTTTTGGAAGTCTTACACGTTGGCTGACCTATCTGTCTGCGCTAAAATACCAAATGGTGTACCTTTTCGGAGGTACTGTAGATCTGTAGGTTTTGTTTACTATTGATGTGTTTGGGTGTTTTTTCTTTTCCTTTCTTTTCTCTTTGCATGTTATTAGAAAGAGGAAGCAACTTTTTTTTCCTTTTCCTGATGCTGTTTTTACTGTGGCGAGGAGGAGAAAAAGGATGCATGGGTGAAAAGGGTCATTTATGTCTCTCTAGTTCATGTTTCAAAGCGTCCTCAACATTAGCAATACCTTGTGCCTTTATGTCTTTTGTATGGGTGCGTGCGTGCATGTAGGTGTATGCGTGCTTGGCTTCTGCCCTGCAATGTACATGTGCCTGTTTGTGTACGAACTTAGTTGTGACTATGCGGGTAATTGAAGGAATGTGTGTATGTTTTTTCGTTTGTTTGTTTTTTTAATAACACAACTGAGCGTGTCATTTCAGCGTGCAAACAGTGGCATACAGTTTGATCGTTGTGAAAACCTCTCAAAGAAATGTATTTATAGCAGCTGAACAGAAATTTACTGTTGTTGTAAGCATACCATTACTCATGTCGATATATTATCCTATAACCAACCTATTGTCAGTTTATACCTAAGGTACAGAGGGGTGGAGCTTCGGGTGACTAGCTTTGAGATGCACTTACCAGAGACCGGTTATCAATGCAGTCTTAGGGAGTAACCATGTGTATTTTAAAATCTTTAAACATATAAAGTTTCAAAGTGTCGATATGTTTCCACGGTGACTCCAAACTTGTACGCACACACATAGATACACGCAAATCTGTCTCGCATGTTCTAGCACTTTCTCACGCCTGCTGCAAACAGGAAGGAGACGGATCAAACTGGGATCGGACTGAATTTGAACTGAAAGCAAACCGGAGAAAGAGACAAGTCTTACCTTCATCTTTCTGATTGTGTGCCTTTGCTACTCTGGCATATTGAATCCTTGGTTTCTCCTCTTTGGGGCCTTTATTTTTTTAGTGTTTGTTATCGTTTCGGATCTCCCGGTCCCGCTCGTCACCGGGTTCAGAGAAACTGGACTTCGGGGAGCGGACTAGACCTGACAGGCTCGTGAGGAAAATAATGAAAAGACCGAAACATTAACATTTTGACAGGGGACAAACATATTATGTCACTCTTTGTACACACAGGTGAGAGTTTATAAAGATGGGTTTTGTTTTTTTTGTGGGGTTTTTCTGTTTTGTTTGGGGTTTTTTCCCCACAGCACGGAGTGAGTGAATGCCAGAATCCATGAGTTTCCACTCGTGTTGCAGGACTGACTGGACGGAACTGGATGGTAGCATCAATATACACCTGGTTCTTTTCATAGGTCTCGTCACATATTACTAAACGTATATCTCATCTGTTCATCTTTATTGTCAATGTCTTTTTGTTGTTGTTATGGATTTGTCAATGCCAAATTCTGTCTTTGGGCACTGAAGTTGTAGAACATGGCTTTTGAATGTGTTTTATTTTCTAAAGAGATTTTATTGTCTCCATGGTGAGTGTGTTGGGCTGTTTTACATATGACGCGTTGGCTGTTTTCTGTTTGTGTCCCTGCCATAAAGGACGATATACCAGTGGCCGCATATTTGAAGATGGGTTTTTTATCCTCTGCCACACCTATTTCAGATGTTCTGGTGGTTCATAATTGCTTTGTTTATGCTGTGTTTGTGAAGAGTTTCATTCAAAAATTGCCTAAAAACACTGACACTATCCTCCACAAATGACATGAAAATGAATTTTATTCTTGAGGTTTCAAGGTTATATTTGCCTATGATAATATTTATGTTGTGGAGAAACTTTATTGTAATAATTCATGGCTTTAATAAAATAAAAAAAACACTCTAAAAACTCTTCAGAAACACAAAGATTTAAAGATTTTTTTATCATGTGATGAAAGCAGAGATGGGCTTGCTTTGACCCAGGATTCTCAAATTTGAGGTATGACTTTATTTTTAAAGGGGACCTTTTACTCCGACGTCCATGTCCATGTATTCTGTTGTAATGGACTCCATTACAATAGTTCTGCCTAATTCACAGTTCAGAATTATCCTTTTTACCTTCTACTGGACCTTGGTGTAGTTCTAGTTGATCCAGTGTCTTAAACAAGCTCTCCCTCTGCTGTTATGCCAGCTTTCCTTTTATTGTGTGGCTCCCGCAAACAAACAATCTGTGGGTGGAGCTTCTGTGCTCAAATGACCGTATAAGGAGGTGTCGGCTTTCGCTGACATCATACAGAGCCAAGAAATGAAAAAAACGTTTGGAAACAAAGTGTTTAGACGAACCCTGAGCTTCTGGCTCAGATGGGCCACCATAACATATCCTGATGTCATTAATTGAATCGGCACCATTATAACAATATATAAATATATCAGAAAATAAGAAGTTTAATAGATCCCCTTTAATGTGTTTACATGAGCCAGCTGAAAAATAAACAGTCCTCCAGAACTACATGGGACTGTGAGATATCGGTTACACGGCCATATTAAATTAGGAACTACTGGTGTGCTACATAGCCATTTAATCCCCATGCAATAAGGTGATGGGTAAGGATACTGTATATTTTTTCCATCTATTTTTTTTTCTTCACTGAAATACAGTCAAAGTGGGAATGCAGTGGGTATCAGATGTGGTTATTTCTGCTGTGACACCCTGTTCATCAGATCATCACACTACCTGTGCTCATCACGGGTCAAAGTAGATGCGCTGATATAGCGTAGCTGGTCATATTACCTTAACCGTGGCAGATCAATGTGTGCAACCTAATCATTTTAAAGGGGCCTTAAAAAGAACTCACTGGTGTATAAGCAAGACTTTGGGTGTTAAGCCATTCAAACAGACATCACACACATCTGTATCCAGCTCTTTATACGGTGGAGGTATATATGCTGTTAGGTTTTCAGATTCTAATGTAAGGTGGTGGTGTTACTGGTTCAGAGCAGCACCTCTGCCTTGATGCTACATTTCAGAGCTCATGTAAACATTCACACTGGCCTGTGCTAATGTGTGGCAGAGCTGTGCTGTTTTGGCATCACAGTCTTTGGTTAATGGTCACTGTGTGTGTGTGTGTGTGTGTGTGTGTGTGTGTGTGTGTGTGTGTGTGTGTG